CGATTAGATTTGGAATTTTGATAATTTACCTACAGAGTTCTGTCAGTTAAATAATTCTGAACTAATTTCATAATATAAAGTGGAAAATTAAACTTTTTCAATTTAGCAATCAAACCTTCATGCCAAACACTGTCGAATGCTTTTTCTATGTCTAGAAGAGCAACTCCAGTTGAGTGGCCTTAAGATTTGTTTGAACGAATTAAATTGGTAACTCTTAAGAGTTGATGAGTAGTTGAATGCCCATGGCGAAATAAAAACTGCTCATCTGCAAAAATTGAGTTCGTATTGATGTGAAGCATCATTCTATTTAAAATTATCTTTTCAAAACGTTTACTTATTGAAGAAAGCAAACTTATTGGACGGTAGCTAGAAGCTTCAGCTGGATTTTTATCCGGTTTCAAAATTGGAATAACTTTGCATTTTTCCATTTATCAGGAAAGTATGCCAAATGGAAACATCTGTTAAATAATTTTACCAAGAAAGACAAGGTACTCTCTGGGAGTTTTTTGATGAGGATATAGAAAATTCCATCATCACCTGGAGCTTTCATATTTTGAAACTTTTTAGTTATAGACCTTACTTCGTCCAAATCAGTCCCCCAGGAATCATCAAAAATATTTTCCCGAGAGAAAATATTCAGATAATCCCGAGCAACCTGATTCTCACTGGGACTAGTAAGACCCAAACTGAAATTATGGGAACTTTTGAATTGCTTAGCAAGTTTCTGAGCTTTTTCCAAATTTGTGATCAAAATTTTACCACCTTCTTTAAGCGCTGGAATAGGCTTTTGAGGTTTTTTCAAATTTTTTGTGAGTTTCCAAAAGGGTTTGGAAGTCGGGTCTAATTTAGAAACATTATTTTCAAAAGATTTGTTCGTCAGGGCAGAGAATCGTTTTTTAATTTGTTTTTGTAAATCCCGCCAGATAACTTTCATGGCAGGATCGCGTGTTCTTTGATATTGTCTCCTACGGACATTTTTCAGACGGATCAAGAGCTGAAGATCGTCGTCTATTATAATTGAATCGAATTTAACCTCGCATTTTGGTACTGAGGCAGCTCTTGCTTCAACTATAGAAGAAGTCAGAGATTCAAGAGCATAATTAATTTTATCTTTGGTTTGCAAAGGAATGTTTGGATCGAAGTTATATTCTATAAATGTTCGATATTGCTCCCAATCAGCTCTAGGGTAATTGAAAGTAGAGCTGTTGGGATTACAAATTATTTCTTGGGATATTTCAAAAGTTACTGGAAGGTGATCAGAACCGAAGTCAGCATGGGTAACCCATTGGCTACAAAGTTGACATGAATCAGTTAAGACCAAATCAATAGTTGAGGGATTTCTTGCAGAAGAAAAGCATGTTGGGCTGTTTGGATATTGAATAGTGTAATAACCTGCAGAACAATCATCAAACAGAATATTACCATTGGAATTGCTTTGCGCATTATTCCATGAGTGGTGTTTTGCATTAAAATCACCAATAATGAAGAATTTAGACCTATGACGGGTAAGTTTCTGGAGGTCACCCTTGAGAAAATTCTTTTGCTGGCCTACGCATTGGAATGGAAAATAGGCAGCTATAAACGTAAGTTGTCCAAATTTTGTTTCAACAGAAACTCCCAAAGTTTCAAAAACTTTGGTTTCAAATGAAGAAAGAATTTTATGTTTGATTCGTCTATGAACAATGATGGCAACGCCACTACAGGGTCCATCAAGACGATCATTTCTATAAATTAAATAATTTGAGTCCTTCTTAACCTTATGGTCAGGTTAAAGGAACGTTTTAGTTTTAACGGCAATATGCACGTTATGAACTCTCAAAAAGTTAAATAGCTCGTCTTCATTATCTTTAAGAGATCGAGCATTCCAATTTAAAATATTTAAAGCTTTAAAATCCATTACTGAATTTTAAAGTCATGACAATATTATTAGCAGATTTTACTCCAGTTTGAATAGCGTCAAACATGGAGTTAGATTTAAGCATATCAGAAATCATGTCAATTAATGAATTCTGTAAAAATTCCATTGTAGGGGCAGTAATGCTTCCTAAGTCAAAATTGTCAAAATTTCCGTTAGAACGTTGGTTAGTATTTTGATTTCTACCCGCTGCAATAGCAGCATAGGTAGCTCCATTAACTCGCTGAACATTGTTAACAGCAAGGAGCTGTATAGGTACAGATGAAACATTTGAAGCAGTGGTGATATTTGTACCTACGGGTACGAATGTAGAATTTGTTCCTCGCTGACCGTTGTTAACAGCAGAGGAATTTGTACCTGGTCGGAAACGTGGAGCGTTTTCTACCTGATGGTTAGAACGAGATTGTAGGATCGCTTTGCGAGTCTTACATTCCAAAAAAAAAAATGGATTTGTAGTTTTCACCACGATTTGAACATTTAAATTTCTTAGGATCTCCCTTCACAGGACAGTCGTCCTTTGCGTGAGAGGAATCACCACAATTCATGCATTTAGCTGGCATGTAGCAATTTTTAGTTCCGTGACCCCATCCCTGGCACTTACGGCACTGAGTGAGGTTTTGGAAATTTCCTCCAGTCTTCCTGAAGTGTTCCCACTTCACTCGGACATGGAGCATAAGGCTAGCTTTTTCTAAGGCCTTAAGGTTGTTTAGTTCACTAGACTTGAAGTGAACTAAATAAAAATCATTAGAAATCCCGTTGCGTGTGCAGTCCTTTCATGACAACCTTGAACACACGTTCAGTTTTGGTGTCGTAAGTAAACAATTTGTGCTTCTTCTCAGTAAGATACTTGAGAAGACATTTAAATCCGTCCAAGGTTTCAGCCAATACACGGCATTCACCCCGGCGGCCAATTTGTAGTGAAAACTTAACTTTCACGAAATTCAAAAGTTCCATGCGAAGAGCATGGAAATCGGAAGTGGTTATCAAAATAGGGGGAATCTTTTCCTTCTTGGCATTAAGCCGGGAAAGTTTACTAGAATTTTTCGTGGATGATGGACCATTCTCATCATCCGTGAGCAAATTAAATTGATTACTCAAATTAATTTCATCAGAAGGGGGATCAAGAGTTTGCCCCTTTCTTTTGCGTTTAGGCGCCATGGCGGCAGTAATTTTTTATCCAAATCGACTTCCAAGCAGATTACTATTAGAATCTGAAGGATCGAAGAGGAATTTTCCAAATCGATATCCAAGAAGGATTACCTCGGGTAGGGTCCAAACAAGGATCGAAGAGGAATAAGAGTTGAACAAGGTAGAAAATTTTTACAGGTTGAGCACTGAAAAGTGCTGTTTAAATTTGTTGTAGCTTTAGGTAGTAGTAACACTTCCTTAAGCCAAAAGCAAATAGATCCGCACGGCAAGAGAGCACGATGCGGACTGTGACTGGTGTCTTATGATTATGCTCATTCAACTTTTCAGCAGGCAACATTGGTGTTTCTTATGCGAACACGGCGAATGAGAACAACCCAAATTTGAGATTAGTTCACTCATAATCGCCAAAAGTGCAGGAACTCAGCGATGAGTAAATTTGCCTTGTTTTCCCAGGTTTTTCCAGGATTTTCCAGGGAAAAATTCCCGAATTTGAGAAAAGTAAAGATTTGATTCACTCAGTCTTTTGGTACTACTCCGAGACTGAATAAAATTTTCGTCAATTTCCTCATTTTCCGGCAGATTTCTTAGGTTTTCCACAGGAAATCATGAGACAAATTTTACTCATCGCTGAGTTCCTGCACTTTTGGCGATTATGAGTAAACTAAACTCAAATTTGGGTCGTTCTCATTCGCCGTGAAGAAAAGAGCACAAATATCATGGCTACTATGTCACACTGCAGAATACAGTGTTGCCCATAGAACAGCTGCTTGATCATGCCATAAGATTATCAATCTCTTTTTTTTTTTTCCTCTGTTCGGGACATAAAACCACTGCGGCCAGTAATTTGATCTATTGTAGTATATCCCGTGTCCTTAGTTTAGTGCATGTCGTATTACTCCATCACTATTGAGAAATGATGAAGCATTCGATTTTTTTACAGTTGTCATTCTCGCATTTATCGCAAGGATCCGACTCTAATTGAAAGGTCCCGCTATTTATACCCTTCGGAGTGTTGGAACACCCTCCAAAGGCGCGCTCCTTTGTCAATCAAAATTGGATCTCTTAGCAACAAAAACAAGCAATGACACCGATAATGACCATGCATCAGAACCCTAGTCTTAACCACTTTAAACTAGGGAATGAATAGAAGATTTGGAATCACATAGGTGAAGACTAACTCATTTTTTCCTTGTTTCAAGATCATCCTCGGTCAAGGTAACCCGGGGACTTGTCACTATCAACAAGGCATAAAAAGTAACAAGGACTAAGATGTGTTCCTTTGATTACTGAAAAATCCTGTTCCCCTAGTCTGAAGTAGACAAGACTAGGAATCGGTGGTAGATCTTACATCCCGTAACGTACCACGAAAAGGTGATCTACCCACGTTACGGGGCTATCAATATCTTAAACAATTAATAACAATTTAATTTGACATTTGACTGAAAAACGATATTGCGCAAAGTTGTAGCTTAGAAAGTTTCCCGTAAGAATAGTTATTGAAATTTTCGAAAAAAGCAATATGGGAAATGGGTAGAAGGCAATGAACAAAAAGTTTGGTTTTCCCATAGTAATTTCCATATAAACTTCGAATAGTTTGAGCCAAGTCAGTTTCTTTCCAAATGAGTTTAAACTTTGGGAGGCTAATCAGGACCTGATTTGAAACCGTTTGAGCACTGTGGAGCGGAAATTTCAAATTTTGGATGGATCACTTTCATTTGATTAACACGCTAGACTGACTGATCCATAATTGTTTTCAGAGTGTCACATTTTTCATTCTGAATTCAATCTTCTGATATGGGGAATCAGTGACAGAGTCGGTATAATCAAACCGACTCCTCGACTCATGCTCCGTAGCCCTGGAACATACCGCGATGTGCTTGTCTGCCCACAACATCTCATCCCATGATCAAAACCCAATTTCATCCGCCGTACTCACCATAATGATTTTGCTCGCCGCTCTATCAGCTGACCGAGGTGGTACAGGTACGTAGGCACATGAGCAGCAGCTTCACTCGGCTTGACTCGGTGAATGCAAGGACCTGTGGACGAAAAACAACACGAGAAAACAACACACATAAGACATTTCCAATCAAAAGAGGACACTGGGGATAACACAAACACACACACACACACACACACTTGCACAAACAAAGATTGGAATGGGTTTTCGATTTTTTTCCTTCTTTTAAATTTTCGAGAAGGCCACTCATTAAATGTCCATAAAAAGAAGGGCCCATCTCCTTTCGGCGGTGGTTCTTACGCAAGCAACCGAACTCGAGTCTTAAATCAAAAAAGTGCAGCATAAATTCAAGTCGCATCACACCACTGCAGTTGCAGTGCGTGGTGGACCGCGATTACCCGCCTCTTCGAGTTGGTTTTTGTTTGATTTAGCAGCGAGGTTTTTCCTCTTCGCTTGTTCGTTTTCTGACGGGGCCCCCACCGAAAAGGCGTCACTTTCAGAAGAGTTACATTTAAATTTAAAATTTATTATTTGTTTCCTATATTTTTCGCACGTCCGGATGGGTGCGATTTAAATGCATTCATTAGGGTTGCCGTTCTTTCAGTTAATTGAGATATTTCTTTTATTTCAATAAATAAAACTCTGATTTTGTGAAAGCTTTTACCAATTTTATGATGTCCATCCATCAAAGACCTTTAAAATCAAAGTACTATACCAACAAAGTAGATCAACCCCATCCCAGGGAACGCCTCGCTTCACTCAGGGTCGAAAAAGAGCACCCACAAAAAAAAACTGATTTCAATGTCTTATCACGCGTAAACTTGATCGAAAGCTTGTTTTTCCCCCTTTTATGTCAATATTTATCCCAACGACGACGACGACGACATCAGCGACAGTTTACCGCACCTTTCGCGGGCTCCCTTGGCCGTGCATTGATCTATGATGCAGAGCAAGTGAAGGTAGTCGCCGGGCTCCGTAACTTCACCGACAAACGATATTATATGCCAACCTTTTTTTTTTTTAAACTTCGGTTCTTGCTTTCGGTTTTCGGCTTCTTCTGCCATGTGAAAAGTGTGTCCCTTCCAACTTTAATGGCCCCTTGACGGCCGCGGTCAGACGCCGCGGCAATATCTGTTTGGCCTGTTTAACTTGTTAACATGTCGCACACGTACAGAGGTAGACGTGCGGTGTGTCCCTTCGAGGAACATATAGGTCTCTGGCGAGACTCGCGAGAACACAGGTGGTTTGATTTTGAGACGGTCAAAATCGGGAGGCCTGTTACTTTTTCATCGTGTTTTCGTTTCGAAAGGGATAATGCATTACTTCCCCGTTCAGTGATAGGTAAGTGTCTCTCGGATGCCAGAATGCTATCTGTGAGCGATCTGGTTTACATGATATCGTAAGTTGGTCATGTAGGGACGACCTTCTGCGGGTAAATTGCGATCATTAATATTCGGGTTTTAACGGGCCCTGATGCCTGTTGGTTCGGATGAATATTTCTCTCAGGGTCATCAGCATTTGAAAGGTTGGTTATATTTTAGAATTATATCAACTGTCGAAACCAGCGTTGCCAGTATTCCAGATTTATCTGGATTTTCCAGATTCTCAGTCGTCTTGCCAGATTCACAGACAGATCACGTTTATTTCCAGATTTTTTAAATATGTTCCAGATTTTTCCAGATTTTTAAAATGTGTTGCTTTATAAATATCACTGCAATAAAAAAATAAAAAAGTTAAACTTACTACTTTAATTACTAAAGGCCATCAACGTTGGACATTTTTGCAACATCACACATGGAATTGTTACAGCATGTTTGCAATGGGTTACAGAATCATGAAAATTGAGACATTTTCTAAACATTGGCTGAAAAAAATCTTCAAATTCTTAAAAAAATATCGAGTCAGGATTTTTATTTTGGAGTTTTTGTTTAGATTTTGGCTATAATTATTTTTTGGAATCTTGGAGGAATTTTCCTAATTTTGGAATTTAGAGAAATCGAAAACTGTTCCGGATTGAAAACAATAAATTGAGCTTTGGAAGATTAACAAGTCTGCAATACTTTGGAATTCTGAATTGCCCTAGATTTTAGAATTTTAAGGTAATTCTGAAAAAAGTTTACAGTGAAGTGTAAGTATGCAGTCTGTGCAACCGTTTGTTGAAGTGAAGACGGTATAAATTGCCTTTTGCAAACTCTGATGACAATTGAATGGAGATTTTGTGAAGAAAGGAAGTAGTTGTAGAGAAATCATAGAAAATTCTTAAGATGAAACTTAAGGAGAATGCTGATATGAATCGTGAGAATAATGTCAATGGTATTACATATGTCCAATGTTTCTATGGAGATTAGGTTTTATCAAGTTTTAAGAAATCTGTCAATTTCTGGGAGACTTTCAAAGCTATTTTGGCAAAGTACTTGAGTACTTAGATAATACTGAAGAGGATTAGTCTGAGAAATATGTGATGGTTATTCTGAAGAGCGTACCAAGGATATTATTAAGAAAATTCTAAAGAAATTGAATAAAGAAAAAATGAGACAAAATTATGCCAATTCTTTTTACCAGTTTGAGGGATTTGTGAAATAAGAGATCACTTAGCACTAGCACTTTTAAATTGTTACTGTTAAAAGATTAGTTTTGGGGAATCCAGAATGGAAGTAGCATAGCATAGCATAGCATAAACCAGGTTGCACAATATCGTAGGTGGTACGAGCTCCAAACTGTTGTTAAGAAGGAAGCCCACCTTCATCCGTTGCTGTCAGATAGTAATTTGGGATTAATTATTACCTCTTAGATAAAGAATGTGTCTCCCTCCAACAGACCAGAGCTGTCCTGGCCACGTCCTTGCATCTGGTGGAGAAAGGGGAGGAATGTTAGTCCGACACTTACTTAAGAGAGATGCAGAGAACTCTATGACCCCTAATAAGTGTCACGGGAAGGGTGGATTTTTGTTAGTAGGGAGGGTAAGCCATAGGATACGCCCAGACGGCGTTGCTGCCAATCGTTATTCAAAATAGTCTTCAGATTTTGGAATTAAGAAACGTTATCAACTCGATCCTGTTGCTCCTTTGCGCCTGAAAATATTTGTTGATCCTCAACATATGCACAATTCATTCTGCCTGATCGATAGGAGATTCTCACGTGTAAAAGGTTATTAATAGTATGTGGAACCGTATATTAGAAGATTCGCCCTTGGCCTAGCTCCCACTGTCTGGCAGTGGCATTACGGATAAAATCTGCCTGCAATCATTTCTTATGAATTCAAGAAGCTTGAACCCGGGAGTTAGAAGGTGACAGCTCTACCGTAGCTACAATAGCCCATTTCAAGAACGCAAGCATTCCGAAGCCACTTTCACACATGATAAGCCCCGCTCCAATCCTTTATGGATGCAAATATACACCATTGATAATGTACTGAAACTTTCAATCAAGCAGTAGTGCAATATTTAATTGACGTGTATTTAGTAAGTTATGAAATGATCGTCTTGAATTAGATGGATATTTCCTATCGAGGACAGAGGAACGAAAAGGTAAATAAACTTAGCTGAGCGTAACTACGCGTAGGTTAGAACAGTCGGCCCCACATGCTACGAATTTGAAAATTTTCACTTAATGTACTTTTTAACATCACTTCTGTACTTTCAAATTAACACTTTTTAAAAATGAAATTGTAAATTTTATAACATTTTCACTAGAACGAAAACGACGCAGCAAAACAAAAACACGTCATTTTTGCAGCGCGGCCTACTTCGATCGTCCAGTTTTGGGGAATCCATAATGGAAGTATGATGAAATTCAAGGATGATTAAAATTGAACTCTGTAAATGAAGTAAATTCAGATTTACAAAAAAAATTCATGATTTAGGACCCTGAAAAAATATAAATTCCAGAATTTAGAATCATTTCAAGATCCTGATTGAAGTCTCAGCACGCATTTAGACTTTCATTTAAGTTATAAAATAATATTATTCTTTTACTGGCTGTGTATGTGTAGACTAGTTATAAAATAATATTATTCTTTGGCAAAACATTATTTGTAATGGTCATGTGGAGTTACCCGTAGTTTAGGTAAACTGTGTATGAGTACCACGATGTTAGGCTTTGTTTCTCACTTCAGCCAGGAAAATTTTAGTTTAAAATAAAATTGCCTACCGAGTGTTGTGAGTTGTATGATGTCAGAATGAAGTTGGAAGTCTAATCGCAGAGTAATATTACAATTATTTAAAACTAAAAAAAAATTAAGACATATTCTGGTACTGCATCAAATATTAAGATCTAAATCGACTATAAC